ATTAGCACCTGTGAGTCATGACTGGCATCATGTGGCAAAACGTGGCTGTCGATTAAAAGATTTCACAGAGCAGTCGAGGTGCTGGTGTTCAAAGCCATTAAGCACATTCCCATATACAGCACGCACACACACACACACACACACACACACACACACACACACACACACACATACAATCGAAATCATGATACCTTAAGAAAGGTGTACCCGTAGGAAAAAAGACCAAAACAAATCCTCTGAGAACCTAAAAGGCAAGATATTGAACAGGATGTGATACAGGCACCCACGATTTCTTGGAAAAACCAGCTAAGGACTAAGGCTCTCCTGGCCCCCAGGGAGGCAGATCTACTCCCCCAAAATGCTGTGTCACTGAACAAACATCGCAGGGTCACAGATGCAGAGCGCTTGATCATTTTAATAATGAAGTCTAATTGCCGCACAGCTGCTGGAAGCATCAGATGATGTCTGAGGCGGATTCGCTGAGCCACTTCAAATGTGACCGAGTATCAGGTCAGTCAGAAGGTAAAGGAGCAAGGTGGTCAAAGCACCAGCTTGGATGCAAATGGAGGACAAATGAAACATGGTACCCGTCTTACCATCATGGTACCATGGGCCTTAAAATCACTTAACTCTGAGAAGTGACCAGGAGCATGATGGGAAATACACAGCAGGGGTGTTCTATGGCATTCTAAGATAGCTAAAAGCAAGTCATGTATGAATGAAGCATTTTCACGTGGGTTACAGTCTTTCTTTCCAGTCTAGGTACCACTCTGTGTGTGTGTGTGAGAGAGAGAGAGAGAGAGACAGAGACAGACAGACAGACAGAGACAGAGACAGAGACAGAGAGAACCTGGTGCCTTTCCTTTAAAGTGTGGGGTTAATTTTAAAGTTATTCACTTCAGTGTTTTGAACTAAAGAAATCTTGTGGGAGGAGCCTCATCAAGAATTCTACTGTTGATGTCAAAATGGAAGCCAGAAAGTGTGGGTGTTATCTGCCTGCGAACATGCGTGCAGTTACCATAATCTGTTTTCTAGATCTGGCCAAGTGATGTGGAACAGAAAGCATTTTGTCCCTCATGTCAAGAGGAGGGAAAGGAAGATCTGACCTCAGTTTAGAGCAAGTAGCAGAGAGATAAGGGTGTGTGTGCCGGAATGAGGAAAGTGCTCGCTTGAATAAGTCCTGGTTTTGAAAGTGACAACAAGAGGAAGAGCTGAACTGTAACTTGAAAAGTGAAGTTAAAATAAAGAGAAAAGATGAATGCTATTAACAGAAGATGGCAAGTAAGACGTTAATTGAAATATGCACCTGCATTTGCATTTAAAAATATTTCTGACATTATCCAAAAAGAAATGTATTCTTTGCCTGACTTAGGTAACTGTAACCCCTCTGCCCATCACCTTTATAATAACAACAAAAATAAATTAATTAAAAAACCAACTGAAAAAACTAAAAGGATGCTCAAATTAATTTGCTAATTTTATTTTATTTTATTTTTCACAACAGCCAGCAATGGTGGCTTATGCCTGTAAGTCCTAGCTACTCAGGAGGCTGAGATCTGAGAATTGTGGTTCAAAGCCAAGCCAGGCTGGAAAATCCATGAGATTCTTATCTTCAATTAATCACTCCTGCTCCCCACAAAAAGCTGAAAGTAGAGCTGTGGCTCAAGTGGTAGAGTCTTAGCTCTCAAGAAGGAAGAAAGAAGAAGAAAGAGGAGGAGGAGGAGAAGAAGAGGGGCTGGGAAGGTGGCTCAGTGGTAGAGTGCTTGCCTCACATGCATGAGGCCCTGGGTTGGATTCCTTAGCACCACATAAGGAGAAAAAAGCCAGAAGTAGCACTGTGGCTCAAGTGGTAGAGCGCTAGCATTGAGCTGAAGAGGTGAGGGACAGCACCCAGGCCCAGAGTTCAGCTCCCACACTGACAAAAAAAAAAAAAAGGAAGAAGAAGGAAGAGGAGGAGAAGAAGAAAGCAGCAGCAGCAGCAGTAGAAGCAGCTCAGGGACAGTGCCCAGAATCTGAATTCAAGCCCCAGTACCAGCATACATTAAAAAACCTTCGTAACAAATATAAACTAGAAAATTAGCTCAAAGCTCACATCTGTTATCTTAGCTACTCAAGAAGCTGAGATCTGAGGATCCTGGTTTGCAGCCAGTCTATGAGACTCATCTTCAGTTGACTACCAAAACCCCGGTAGAGGAGGCATGGAGCAAGCAGTAGGGTGCCTGCAGTGAGCAAGAGAGCCAGGCCAGAGGTAAGGACAAATTATTCATACTAATTAAATTAGTTCATAAGAATTGAAGATTAGTTCTAAGTGTTAAAGGTTAATTTGCTATTTTAAGTAAAAAAGGAAAAGAGCATATTGAAAGACTTTGTGGGTCATGAATGATGTATTTAGTATGTTTGGAAAGCCAAGAGGAACCAAACTTTGGTTGCTGAATACTAAAAAAAAAAATGTTAAAACCACCTTACTGTTCTTAAGATGCCTCTGCTCCGCTCCAGGTGTAGAGCCCCGCCCCACCCCCATGCATGAACTGACAAGTCCAGGGCTCCTTCTTTGCATCCCTGCCCACTCTTCCCTGGCCTCCAGACCTTACTCAGCCTTTAACCTAAGCAAGCTGTTGTCCCCACCTGCTCTCTCAGGATCCCCACTGAATCACCCCAGCAGACCTGTCCCTTCCTCTGCATCTTACGCCAGGCCCCGGCTTCTGTGGACCCTGGAGCCGAGTTTCCACGTTCCTGCCCACCCTCTACCGTCTCCTGGGGCTGTGTTCTGATCTTGGATGATTCCTGCTGTCTTTCAGCTTCAGTCACCATCCATGCTCGCTTCCTGAGCCGTGGCCTTGTCTTTGCTCAGACCTGCAGCCTGCAACGCCCTTTGCTGCATCCTTGCCATCCCCAAGCTTACTCACTGCTTCCTAGGTCAAGCTCTTTGTCCAGGGCTGCCTGGGCAGGCTTGGTCTCTCTCTCTTTCTCTCTCTTGCCCTCTGGACCCCTGTAGCACTCATTCTCCCAAGACTGAATGGCTTACCCACATCCCACTAATGCTCTTGGTGGGTCTGACTTACAACCAGATTATGATCTCCTTTAGGACAGGATCAGGGTCTTAAATATCTCTCTCTTGATAGCATCTAGCAGAGGGGCTGGTGAATGGAAGTTACATGTTATTTCTTCAAGTGCCCCAGCCATGAATTACCTAGTGACAACTTACTCAAATGGATGGCTGGCAAAGAGGAAAACACATCCACATACAGACAGATACATGAAATCTAAGAACAACAACAACAACAACAACAACGATTGCCCCCCCCCCACAGTCAATGGAAATTCTGGGAGCAAAACAGACCAGTGGGATCTGGCAGCTGTCCTCCCTACAAATCTAAGAGCCGCAGACACGGTAAATTACTACGGGTAATTTGGTTGCTTGTAGAAATCACCATGGTGAGTGCTACAGATTTAGAAAATTTTAAGGCAGTAGAAAATGCATGAGGCAAATGAATGTACGTCCACAGAGAACAGCTAAATGCATACGTTTTAAAGTATAATCATTACTGAAGTATTATTGATATGAGATAAATGCACAGATCTTAAACAGAAGCTCAGTGGATTTTCATCAAGGGAATACAGGCATGAAACCAGTGTCCAGGTCAGAGAAGTTGGTGTATGCTTTGTCTAAGCACTGCCTGCCAGACTCCCAGGACAACCACAAACCTGATTTCTCTCTCGATCTCTCTCTTTCTCCCTTCCTTCCTTCCTTTCTTTCTTTTTCTTTCTCTCTCTTTCTTTCTCTCTCAATTCTCTCTCCCTTCCTTTCTTTTTCTCTATCTTTCCCTCTTTCTTTTTCTTTCTTTCTCTCTCCCTTTCTCCTTCTCTCCATCCCTCCTAATCCCTTCCATCTTGTCTTCTTCCCCCTCTCCCCCTCCCTCCCCACCCTCTCTCTCCTCTCCTCCCTCCCTGTCTCTCCCCACCTCCCCCAGTCCTAGGGCTTAAACTCTGGGCACAGTCCCTGAGCTTCTTTTGCTCAAGGCTAGCACTCTACCATCTGAGCTACACTTCCACTTCCAGCATTTTTGGTGGTTCACTGGAGATAAGAGTCTCACAAATTTTCCTGCCTGGGCTGTCTTCACTGTGATCCTCAGATCTCAGCCCCCTGAGTAGCTATGATGACAGGTGTGAACCACTGGCACTTGGCAACCCTGATTTTTTTTTTAACTAATTACTTTTCTGGGGTTTAAACTCGTGTTGGCTAAGAAGGCACTCTGCCACTTGGGTCATGCCTCCAGCACGTGACTCTTACTTTTTAACACTGCAGATCCACTGCATCAGCGCCTGCCCTTCGAATAAATGATTACACAGGGCACAGTTTTCTGCTTGGCTGCCTGTCTTCAACATTATTTGATGAGATCTACCAATGCTGTCTTGAGTAGCAATAATTCATCTTAAATCAATAAGCGAGTGTTTCTTCACTTGCATTACAAACGGAGCCATCAGGTGCCGAGCCATAAGGCATCCAAATCTCTTCCTTCCAGCGGAGAGTCACTTGGAGTGACTACCTATCTTATGGCATACAGCTGGCAATTCCTCAGCACACATCTTTAGAGCAAATGTGGGAGGAGGCAGGGTTACAGAGCACCCCAGGGGAGGGGGAGGCCCGCAAACTCTCCGCATACTTTTTGTCTCATGATGGATGGTTTGAAAAGTCACTCTGATCTCCCAATCTCTACAATTTTCAGTGCATCTTTTAGCTATTTTTTTTTAAAGCTAACGTTGGAGAGAATTTGTTTTCACTCTTGTATGTGTTTTGACAGACTGATGGTTTGCTGAGGCACAGGAACAAGAAGACACAGAGGAAGAATCTCGGACTGCACGCGCTACACCAATGGAGAAGAATCACCTGTGTTTTCCAGCTTTAGAAAGGGCGTGTCCAGCACTTCCACCACCATATTGCTTTACGCACTACACATTCCATCTCCAAAGTCTGCCTAACCCTGCAGGCACCTACCTACCTTGGGGATTAAAGAAACCAGTCATCCAGAACACATTAGGCCTCCCATCGAAGATCCAGGTAGAAAACTGAGCGTTCCTTTCCAAAAGTTCGGTAAACCAGAAGCCCAGGGTGGAGGAATCCCAGGACACCCTCTTCCAGAGCTGAGGGATTCGAGCGTCATACATGTTGTCCAGAGCGTCTCTCAGGTTCTGGAGAAGGGAAAGTTCCAAACAGGTGAATTCAGAAAGAGCAACAAAAAGAAGGAGGAAGGGGAGAGAAGACCGCCGACAGAGGAACGGCTCACCTCGCTCATGATGATGGTACCTTCAATGGCCAACTTGAGGTCACTCAGGCTGCTGCGAAGTATTGAGATGACCCTTTGCATCCTGTCAATTTCTTGTCTGAGAAATATGTTCATTGAATTCAGATGCCCCATCTTTACCAAGCGAGCTTTCACCTAAAAGAAAGAGTTACCACATGCCTAAAAGAGACGGCTAAAGTCATCTGTCATTCCCACCCCGTGACCTCTCCAATCCTAATACTTTTTCTTCTTCTCGCTAGATCTCTAGCTGACCAAACAGACTCTAAAACAGCTCTTGCAGAACTGAATTTGCCATTAAATCACCCATTTTTTCTGAGCTTAAAAAACCACTGTTCAACTGAAATGATTTTTATTTCCTACTGATTGTACTTCGTTGATAATTGGAAATGTACTTTAAAAAGCTGAAAGAAAATTGTACCTATTTCCCCTTTCAAATGATTAAGTACTAAGTGTCAGTTAGATATTCTTTCACAATCTAACCTTTATGAGAGCACTGTGGGGTTTCTTATCATTATGCATGCAGAGTTATTAGAATGTCACAAAAAAGTTAACATAGACAAAATCTTTACTGAGCGACTGCCAGTGAATAGCATTAACTGTAGTTTCCTAAGATGGTGACGGCTATGGCTACGGTGGTTACAAGAGTGTCTCGCCTGAGCTAATCAATGAAAAGATCTGACTCTGTAAGAGAGCTGCTGAGCACTTGTCATTTCTTCCTTTGGGTATATATCATTCACTGACAACTTTAAAGAGATCAATACAAAAGCCTCTGGTTGGTGGGAACAATAAACAAAAATAATGATTGAAAACTAAACCTATACACATTCACATTTTAATGTGGTGATATATGCCAAGAAAAGACTGACTGAAAATACTGGCAGGAGCTCATGAAGAGGCCTTGAACTTCCTGCTGGCCATGGCCCAAGACATGCTGGATTAGGAGGCTGAGGATGGACACAGGCAATGGGAGAGAATTTAATGTGGTTGTGTCAGTCCAATCACCAGCAAGCCAGCGATTGTAGGATTCTGTGCTGGAGAAGTCCACGCCCCCTTCCTGAGGCATGGGATGTGAGAGCTTCCCAGTCCGCAGACCTTCCTTCCCACTTTACAGACCAGGCCTCTGCATGGGGCAGAAGGGGTCTTAGCAACAGACACCTTCCCTACTTGTTTGTTTCCTGGCGCTCCAGGTATAATCCTGAGTCTTATGCATGCTAAGCGCGTGTTCCAACATTCTCAGCCCCTCACAGGGCACCTTTCAAAATCTTTGTTTCTACAGGAAGCCATTTATTTCAAAATCTTAACCAAATGCCTTGATGCCATCCATGTAGCAGAAACCCAAAACATCTTTAAGATGGCTTGTATTGTTGGAGAACTAGTTAAGAGTGAAGTTTCTGGAGCCAGATCATGTTTGCTCAAATTCTTGCTCTACCCCTTAGCTGCTGGTGCTCTCTTGAGGAGTAAGAGTCATCACGTATATAAGGCACTTAGGGATTAGTTCGTAAAAGAATATTAAAAAGGGAATAACAGAAAAGCTTAATTGAAAATAATGTGTTAAAAAAGAGAGAATAGGGGCTGGGAAGGTGGCTCAGTAGTAGAGCGCTTGCCTTGCATGCATGAGGCCCTGGGTTCGATTCCTCAGCACCACATAAGCAAAAA